ATCCCAGCCAATTCTTGAGTTTTAAACTCTTTGTTAAGGTAAGAGTCTGCTTCCAGTGTGAAGAATGTACTGTCCCAAGCTTTGGGGGTTTGTATAGCTGTTTTCAGAGATACTTGTAGGGACTTGTAAATTTTCAAGAGTGAGTTCATAGAGTGAGTCTTGGGGAAGTTTTAGATTGCTTTAAATGTCTCTGAGATCCTTTTCCACTGACATTCTGCAATTACAATAGTATTTCCGACTATTAGTGTAAAAATGTTGTTCCCTCAAATGTAGCATGGGGGTGTGTGTCATGTGTGGTTCAAATGGAGGCAAGATTAGATGTATCTCCAGCCCTTCTCCAAAGACTCTAAGCTGATTTAAGACCAGCCTGGCCATTTTTCTCTCCTCTGAGGAGGTCCTAGGCTAGAATTCCATCTTTCTCCTCCCTTAAATATTGTTACTCTAAACCTAGAGTAACAATATTTAAGGGAGGAGAAAGATGGGGTGGGGGTGGGGAACCTGTGGCCTTCTGGGTCAGGGCAGCCTTTTGACTGAGTCCAAGTTTTACAGAACAAATCCTTTTATTAAGGGAATTTGTTTTGGAAATTTTGAGTTCAGTCAAAGGGCTGTACTTGAGGACCTGGAGGGCCACATGTGGCCTCAAAGCTTCAGGTTCCACACCCCTGTAGGGGGTGTAGTTTTCAAGTTCAAGCTGAACTCTTGATTGCTATTTTTTATGGGGAGAAGAGAACTCCGAGCTTTATATCCAAGGCTTCCTTGCCACCAGATACAAGTTCCACAACAAATGTGCTTGGGAAATAGTGAAGAAACTCATTTATCCAAATCAGTAGCAAAACAGAACTCAGAGAAAGTATATGTCATGTACTCAAGGCCATTGTCCATCCTGGTTGCCCTCCCCTTTGTGTAGTCTCCAATTTATGAATGAATGAATAAAGCATTTACTAAGAACTTACTGTATGCAAATCACTGCGTTAAGTACTGAGGATACAAAAATGAAAAATTAGACAGTCCCTGCTCTAATGGAGCCCATATTTTAATGGAGGGGAAATGACACATATGGAAGATTTCAGCTGCAGGTCAGATGGAAAAGTTTTATAGTCCTTATAGAATAGTGACAAAGTAGATGGTAATAACATTTCCTTAATGTTATTTTCAGTGATGAAATCATACCAGTTTCTGATGTTGAGTCATTTGGCAGTGAGGTTTGTGGTTAATTCTTAATTAGCCCTTTCAAAACCCATTGAAAAAATTTAACTTACCTTTTAAGCTACTTATTACTGCAGGGTATCGGTAGCAGTGAGTGAGCAATCTGGCAACCACAGCAATGTGTTAGTTGAGTAGACAGAGAACCACAAGACAGATTCTGAATATTTTTTTAAAAGGTAAAATTAAAATAGAAAATTATAGACAAATAACAAAAAATGAACCAACAATAATGAGGAAAAGCTAAGGTTAGAGCCAAATGTAGTTCTAATAACAAAAGCTGACATTTGTATAGTACTTTAAAATTAACACATTGTTTTATGTACATGAGCTCACTGGATCCTCATACAACTGTGTGAGGAAGGTCTTCATTTATTATTATCTTCATTTCACAGATGAGGAAATCGAGGCTGAGAGATTAAATGACACAAAGCTAGCAGGTATTATAAGTGGAATTCAAACCTTGGGCTTCTGATCATCAGCTTTCTTCCTACTATATCATGCTACTTGTTATTATTATTGGGGAATGTTTTCTCTGTGGAAAAAAATCATCCAATTAATAAAAAGGAGTCTTCTTTCTGCTTGTAATTCTGTCTCCACTGATTCTTTCCTATTTCTCCTCTACATTTCATGAAATGCTTTTGCATTCTAAGCTTATTAAGATTTTTAAAAGGGCCATGCTTGTAGGGAAGTGTGACTGCATGATAAACAGCTTCATTCTTAAAACAGATTTTAAGAAGAAATTTATGCTGATTAAGTGGACATGTACTAATAGGAGTCAGAGCTACCCTCTCTTGCTCCCTGTTCCTCACTTCTAGCCCATTACTTTTGTTGTTGATGGTGGTCCTTAATTTTCTTTTCTTTTTGTTTTCTTTTTTTTAAAATATAAATTTATTTATTTTTAGTTTTCAACATTTACTTCCACAAGAATTTGATTTTCCAAATTTTCACCCATCTTGCCCCTCCCCCACCCCAAGATGGCATGCATTCTGAATACCCCTTCCCCTAGTCTGCCCTCACTTCTGTCTTTCCCCTGGCTTCTCTTGTCCCCTTCCCCTTCTATTTTCCTGTAGGGCAGGATAGATTTCTGTACCTCATTTCCTGTATTTCTTATTTCCCAGTTGCATGTGGAAACATTTTTTTTAAACATGTGTTTTTAAAACTTTTAAAACTCCCTTACTCCCACCCCACCCACCCTCACTGAAAAGGCAAGCAAGTCAATACAGGCCATGCATGTGCAGTTATGCAAAGCACTTCCATAGTAGACATGTTGTGAAAAACTAACTCTGTTTCCCTTAATCCTATCCTGCCCCACCCCATTTATTCTATTCTTTCTTTTGACCCTGTCCCTCCTCAGAAGTACTTCCTTCTGATTACCCCTTTCCCAATCTGCCCTTCTCTCTATCATCCCCCTGCTCTCTTGTCCCCTTCCTCCCCTATTTTCCTGTAGGATAAGACAGATTTCCATACCCAACTGAGTGTGTATGTTATTCCCTCCTTAAGCCAAATCCTATGAGAATAAGATTCCCTCATTTCCTCTCACCTTCCCCTGTTTCCCCTCCACTGTAAGAACCTTTTCTTGTCTGTTTTGTGCGAGATAATGTACCCCATTCTACCTCTCCCTTTCTCCTTCTCCTAGTATAATCCTCTCTCACCCCTTAATTTTATTCTCCAGATATCACCCCTTCATCTTCAACTCACCCTGTGCCCATCTATCTATCTATCTATCTATCTATCTATCTATCTATCTATCTATCTATCTATCTATCTATCATACATACATATAATTTTTCCCTTCCCACTACCCTAATACTGACAAAGGTCTCATGAGTTATAAATATCATCTTTCCATGCAGGAATGTAAACAGTTCACCTTAATTAGTCTCTTATGATTTCTCTTTCCTGTTTACCTCTTCATGTTCCACTTGAGTCTTGTATTTGAAAGTCAAATTTTCTATTCAGCTCTGGTCTTTTCATCAAGAATGCTTGAAAGTCCTCTATTTCACTGAATGACCATTTTTTCCCCTGAAGGATTATACTCAGTTTTGCTGGGTAGGTGATTCTTGGTTGTAATCCTATCTCCTTTGCCCTCCAGAATATTATATTCCATGCCCTGCGTCCTTAATGTAGAAGCTGCTAAATCTTGTGTTATCCTGATTGTGTTTCCACATACTTGAATTGTTTCTTTCTGGCTGCTTGCAATATTTTCTCCTTGACCTGGGAACTCTGGAATTTGGCTACAATATTCCTAGGAGTTTTCCTTTGGGGATCTCTTTCAGGGGAGATTGGTGGATTCTTTCAATTTCTATTTTGCCCTCTGGTTCTAAAATTCAGGGCAGTTTTCCTTGATAATTTCTTGAAAGATGATGTCTAGGCTCTTTTTTTGATCATGGCTTTCAGATAGTCCAATAATTTTTAAATTCTCTCTCCTGGATCTATTTTCCAGGTCAGTTGTTTTTCCAATGAGATATTTCACATTGTTTTCTAATTTTTCATTCTTTTGGATTTGTTCTACTGTTCTGATTTCTCATAAAGTCACTATCTTCCAATTGCTCTATTCTAATTTTTAAGGAAGTATTTTCTTCAGTAATCTTTTGGACTTCCTTTTCCATTTGGCCAATTTTTCTTTTTAGGGCATTCTTCTCCTCATTGGCTTTTTGGACCTCTTTTGCCATTTGGGTTAGGCTATTTTTTAAGGGGTTATTTTCTTCAGTATTTTTTGGGGTCTCCTTTAGCAAGCTGTTGGCTTGTTTTTCATGATTTTCTTGCATCACTTTCATTTCTCTTCCCAGTTTTTCCTCTACTTCCCTTACTTGCTTCTCAAAATCCCTTTTGAGCTCTTCCAAGGCCTGGAATGGATTCATATTTTTCTTGGAGGCTTTGGTTGTGGGAGCTTTGACTTTGTTGTCTTCTTCTGGTTGTATATTTTGATCTTCTTTGTCACCAAAGTAAGATAATATAGTCTGACTCTTTTTGCACTGCATGCTCATGATCCCAGCCAACTACTTGAGTTTTAAACTCTTTATTAAGGTAAAAGTCTGCTTCCAATGTGGAGAATGTACTGTCCCAAGCTTTGGGGGTTTGTGTAGCTGTTTTCAGAGATACTTCTAGGGCCCTGTAAATTTTCAATTCTTCCAAGGTGATATGATAGGGGTCGAGGTGTTTACTCTTTTCCTGGCCTGAGCTCTGGTCTTTCAGTAACTGGCCCCAAGCAGTCCTTTCTCTCTTGGAACTGTGAGGAGGGTTTCCTCTCTCCACAGCCACTACAAGCTCCACTACACCAGTGCTGCTCCTCACCCCAGGACTGCCACCCAGAACTGTGGCACAGATCCACACATAGGCAAAGCAAGAGATTCCTGCCTCAGCACTGCAAAGAGATCCCTGCAGTCCCCCTCTGATCAGCCACTCGATTCCCCCTCAGTCAGTGGGCTGGAAGTTCAGGGCGCAGCCACTGCCCTGGCACCAGGCTCTGTGCTCTTCGCTCTGGAACTGACTCTGACCTAGCTCTTCTCTCACCGCAAAAACAGACTTCCCACTGACCTTCTAAGTTGTTATTGGCGTTGGTGGATTGAGGAGTCTGGAAACTGCCACAGCTGCCTGTAATTCATTCCTCTGAGGCCTGCTCCAGGTTCGCTGTGTGCCCACTCCGAACTGAGCTCCTGTCCCTGCCCCGCGTGATATGTCTTTCTGATTAACCATCCAGGCTGTCTTAGGCTGGAAATTTGTTTTACTCTGTCCTTTTGTGGGGTCTGCTGCTTTAGAATTTGTTTAGAGCCATTTTTTTTTTACAGGTATTTGGAGGAGAGCTCAAGCAAGTAACTGTTTTCACTCCATCTTGGCTTTGCCCCCTAAATGCTCCTTTGGTGGTCCTTAATTTTCAAAGAAGACCAATGACATTACTATATAGGGTACACAGGATGCCTGAGGAGAAATTCGCAGGAAGGACTGTGTAGGAGCTTTTGGAATAGCGGCTCATGTGAAAGTCAAGTGATTGGACTTGGGGAGGTAAGGTTGGGCACGGACTTGTGGCAAGAGAGCTGCAATGACAGCTAGTACAAATTGTAGTCAGGGACCTTCTGGGAACCTACTGAAGTCACATATTCTAGATCCACTAGAGGCATCAATTGAGACGTTGAACTGTCCTTTGAAACTGTGATTTTATTCATATGTCAGGGACTTCACTAACTGGTTTTGTGAGTTTATGGGGACCATATTGAACCTCCAAGGAAGAAAAGGCACTCAGAGAGTGGATTTCTCCAAAAAAAAATTTTATTTATTCATTTTGGTCAGGCTTGGTGGTGGTTCAGCCTGATTTTATCAAGGCAGGGAACTCCCAATATGGAAGTTCCTCTACATCCCACCTTTAATGAAGATTAGTAACCTATCTGCAATTTGTAGCCTTGGGCTGTGATCTGGAGGACAGAGAGTTTTTGCTCATCATCACATAGCTGTATGTGCCAGAAGGATTTCCAATATGTACTAGATATTGGGGATACAAATACAAAATCAAGACAGTCCCTGCCTTCAAGGAACTTAAGTTCTACTGAGTGTACACATGTTCACAGATAAGAAAACACAGCTGTTGGACAAGTTAACACATTGACCACACCATTTCTTAGGCAGGAGACAAAGGAGGGCTTCTAGCACCTCTTTCTCTAGCAGGTTTGTTTTTGATCTGGTCGGACAGGAATGGAGTCATAATAAAGGGTTAAATAAGCTTACTTAATTCTAGTCTAGTCTTCTCAAAGGGAGTTTGCTGATAATGGGAGCACCAACTCCTACAGCATTCCCTAACAACCCTTCTTGCAGAGGCCAGTGTGAAGGGGGGCAACTATCCCTCCGACTCGATGGGGTCAGTCGAGACCAGCACAAGTTGTGCATTCCCCTAAATCCCCTCAAGCCTCAATGGGGGCCAGTTGAGGCAAACATACGGATTCCCTCCCTCAAGCCTTGATGGGGGCAGAGCAAGGCACACACAGCATTCAGCCTGCACATTCATCCCTAAGGGGGTCCCCAGTCACTGACTAGTGCCCACTTGCTTTATAGGGCAACAGATGAAGAAGGCACATTGCCAGTAATAGACTCACAATTTTACATTACTTCACCCCTATATCTATTGCGACTGCACAGTAGAAACTGTTTTGAACCATGATAGTGAGAACTCATATATCTATAACAACTGAGAAGTAGAGATTGTTGTGGCTATGGATGCACGTAACAAAAAATCTGCTTTACATACACTAAAATTCACCTTCCTTACAACAGCCTATATACATCTGAATATAAAGTGACTATAGGGGTGAAGAGGCTAACATCTAGGGGAGGCCATTTTAAGTGTTCAGTCTTGAAGGGACCTGGGGATTCCAAGAGATGGCAGTGAGAAGAGAAAGCATTTTAGATGGAGTTTCAAAGAAAAATATGTTAATACTATTTAATGGGGAAAATAAAGTAAAATAAAAAGTACAAAGCAGAGAACAAAAGAAGACCTAGAAGGAAGCACAGAAAAACTGGGTTGCTTTGAAAACAATGTGTAGGATTTATTACATAGATTTTTCATGAAATTTGAATTTATTGTTTTATATTGAATCCTTTCGTATGTTCTATTGTGTACATGGCAATATTCTTTTTTTCTTTTCTCATTTTGTATTTAAGTTCAAAATGAATAAAAAATTAAAAAAACTATTTAATATGCTCTGTGACTTAGGCTCAAGTATGCCAGAAACACTTTTACTGAATGTATATCAAATCCATTTCTAGTGTGGAGAAAAAAGATATCCAGACCAGGCGTCATCTCCCATGACTTCTGTCATGATTCCCTGACTCAAGAAGATAGAAGTTAACAATGATGAGAATCTTGACTGAAGAAAAGGTCAGAATGTATTAAAATTTTGTTTAAAAATATGTTTTTAAAAGTTTTGGGTTAACATTCTAGAACCACTTGAATCCTTTCTGGACCCACTCTCTCTTAAGAGTTTCTTCCTGTGTCAGTATCTTAACCTTGAATTTCAAAAGAGGACAGACATTGTCCTTATGTGGGTCCTAGTACCAATCACTCACTCCTGGTGGTGAGGAGGCAATCATGTCACCTGTACAACAGTTATGTTTGGTTATCACCCTTACTCTATTTCAAAGGAAGGTCCTAGCCTTTGTTCTTCCCACTTTCCTAAAGGATAGGGTTTGGAAAGCATTTTAAGCTGGAAAAATAGTGTTTCTTTATATTTCTAGAGAAAGTAGAAAGGAGAGTTTAAAAAAATTCTTCAACAGAGAGGGATGCAAAGTCTTGGAGATAAGAAATGAAATATTGTGCACTTGAAACAGCATATAAGTCAATCTGACTAGAAGGTAGAGTGAATGGAGGGGAGCTTCTATAATCAACATGGAAGTGTAGGCTGGAGTCAGTGGTAGAGGGCCTTAAATGCCAGATAAGGCAGTTTGTCTTTTATCTTACAAGCAGTAGGGAGCCCAGGGAACTTTTTGAGTGAGAGGATAACATGGTCAACCTTGAGTTTTAGAAATAGCCTTTACGTAGATATAGAGGATGTATTAGAGAAGGGAGAGACTGTATACAAGGAAACCAATTAGGAGGATCTTGAAATAGTCCAGTCAATCAATCAACAAGTATTTATTGAGCACACACACACACACACACACACACACACATATGTATAGGGGTGTGTGTGTGTGTGTGTGTCCCCTCAATAGAAAATTAGCTCCTCAAGAGTGTTTCTTTTTTGTCTTTGTATCTCTAACAAATGCTTATAGACAATATATAAATACCTACATATATACATATGTGTATGTGTGTACATATATATGTATATAAAAGTACAAAGTCATTTTTGGGGTATGGCTCTAATTGCTGGGAGAATTAGGAGAAATTAGAATTGAACTTTTAGAAAACAAGGGATTCTAAGAAGTGGAGGTGAGGAGGAAGGTGCTCTGAGCATGGGCAGCAGGCTAACAAAGGCACACTGATAGAGTATCGTGGGAGAAACAAGAAGTCTAGTTCAGCTCCAACTTAAACATGTGGAAAGATGGGTTGGATCCAAGTTGGAAAGTGCTTTAAATACCAGAGAAGTTTACATTTCACATAGAAGTAATACGGAATCATTGGAGTTTATTAAGCAGGGGAATGACACAATCAAATGTGTGCTTTAGGAAAATTATTTTGACAGAAGTATAGAAGATGAATTGGAGAGTGGAGAGATTTGAATCAGGGAGATCAATTAGTAGCCTATTGTAATAGTTCAAATGAGACATCTAAATAAAGAACTGATGGAGTCTGAATGCAGATTGAAGCATACTATTATCACTTTATTTTTTTCATTTTTTTTGGTCTGTTTTTTCTTTCACAACATGACTAATGTGGAAATATATTTTACATGATTGCACATATATGTATATATATGTGTGTATATATATATATATCCCATATCAAAGTGTTTACCATCTTAGGGAAGGGGAGAGGGAGAGAGAGAGAGAAAATTTGGAACTCAGTTTTTAAAAAATGAAAGTTAAAATTTGTCTTTACATGTAATTGGAAAAAATAAAATACTACAAAAAGTAGTTCAGGTGAGAGATAATGAAGACCTGAACTAGGGAGGTGACTATCTGAGTAGAGAGAAGATGGACATGAGAGATGTTGTGAAGGTAGAATTGACAGAACTAGAAGTGTCAGCCTCAGGGCTGCCAATGCTCTCTGGTAGGGCTTGAACCAGATTAAAATGTACTTGGGAAATATTTAACAAAATAAATAAACACTAACAAAATAATAAAAATAAATACAAACAAAATAACACAATAAATAAAAATACAACTCCCGTGATTCTCCCTGATTCTCCCAACAGAACATAGATAATATTAATAGGTGGTCTTTTAAATTAATATGTGTCCTGCAGAGACCTTTTGTATGACTTGTGCTCCCCTTTTTATTTGAATTTGATACCATTGGATGAGACCTTGTAACTGATTGGATTAATGGAGGGATGGGGAGTAAAGAGTTGAGGATAACTGTGAATGTTTGTGGCCCTGGGTGACTAAAAAGATGGTGTCTCTCTTAACAAAAATAGAGAAATTCAGGAAAGGGATGAGTCTTAGGGAAAAGATAATGAGTTCTGTTTTAGACATTTTGAGTTTGAGATGCCTATCAGACATCCAGTTGGAATTTTCTGATAGGCAGATGGTGATTCAGGCTTGGACCCCAGGAAAGTAGGATAGGCTATATAAAATCTTAAAATTATCTGCAAAGAGATGGTAATTAGTCCCCTGGGAGTTGAGGTCAGCAAGGGAGAAAGTATATAGAGAAGAGAGGGCCCAGGACAGAGACCTGGGGAACACTTGGGGTTTGATATAGAGGGTTTGATACAGAAGACAGTCTAATGAAGGAGACTGAGGAGCAGTCATATAGGTGGGAGGAGGACCAGGACAACATAACAGTGTCATAAAAAGCCAGAAGAGAGAGCATCTGGAGGTGATCAACAGTGTCAAATGCTACAAAGATGTCAGGAAGGATGAGTATTGACCAGATATTGACCAGATCTGGCAAGACAGATCTTTGGTAACTTTGGAGAGAATAGTTCCAGCTTTACAGATGAGAGGAGAGGATGTGTCAATAATAAGAGTGGCTATCTTTTTTTTTTTTCGAGGAGATTGGCTAATTAAAGTAGGAGAAAGATAAATGGCAATAGCTTGAGTGGATTGTAGTTCCTTTGAGGGTTTTTTTTAAGGATGGAAGAGATAGTAGGGAAGGAACCAGTAGATAGGGAAGGAATGAAGTGATGAAGGACTGAACTAAGTTTATTATGGTGTGAATAGAGAGAAGGGAATGGATGTGAAATAAGTTAAGGAGGTAAAATTGACAAGATTTGATAATGGGTTGGGTATGAGAGTGAGAAGATATGAACCAGGGTGGCTGGAAGTAATGACCTTTACAGAAATGGGGAAAATCAGAGGAAAGGTGGGTTTAGGGAGATAGGTAATGAGTTCACTTTTGGACTTGTTGAGATTGAGGTGACTATGGCGTATACCAGCAGATTGATCATCACTAGAATATGCTATTAAGCCTCCCAAGGTGAGCTTTGAGGAACATTATTCATTTGGTTGTGAAAATTCTGACATTTTTACTAAAAACAAATATATCTCTTTACTTCAAGTGTGTACCATGTATGTTTCCCTCTGCATTCCACACCTAGTATGATATTTGATCTGTAATTGGCCTTTTTACTTCTATACATTATAAAGGAATTTAACAAAAACTGGATTTTAATTCCAAGGTCATCCATTGAAATTTGTTTTCTTCTTAGGAAAGCAACTTCTCTTTGTGTCTCTGTGGGTCATTTGCAATCAAGCAGCAATGCTATAATTAAACAGAGGTAAAGAGTCATATTTCAAAGAACAGTAGGGTCAACAGCAGACATTTTCTGATAGCCACAATCAATCAAAGCCATTTCCCGTCCTATATCCCCCTTAGACTCAAGTAGGAAGAAAAACTTCAATACCCTCTTTAGAAAGCTAATGTTTAGAAACACTGCATTAAAATAAGTTTTTTTCCTTCTAATTGTTTCAAACAAGGTCCATCAGTTATGGCTTCATATTTTAACCTCATAATGAAGATATATATTTCTAAAAGGGACAGGACTGTAAAGATTACATGAAACGGACATCACTTTAATCTCAACAAGATCTACATTGGTATCTCAGTGACCACACAAATCTCCTCTTTGAGTCATTGTATCATGGTGGTCAAAAAGTAGACAAAGTTGTTGACATTAAAGAGGAAAAGATATTTTGTTCTGTTATTAGGAGGTTACCTTTCACTTCATTATATTCCTGTGGTCTCCTTTGACAGAGTAGTCTGTCATCATCAAGGTTTGCTGTAGACTACGTTATTGACAAAGACGACATTGGCTGAACAGGTATTTTTAAGTTAATTTTTATTCTTTTTAATTATGAAATACTTATTGTTTCTCTCACACACTTCCCTCTTCCCCACCCATGCGAAAAAAGAAAGAAAAACCAAACATTTCTGACAAAGAAGCATAACCAAAACAAATTCTCATATTGGCCATGCTTAAAAATGAGTGTCTCATTCTGATTATTAGCCCATTACCTCTCTGTCAGGAGGTGGGTAGCATTTTTCATTATCAATATAGTACTCTTGAGTCATGGTTGATCATTGCATTGGTCAGAGTTCTTAAATCTTACAAAAATATTGACATTATAGTAGAAATTATTTTCTTGGTTCTGTTTACTCTTCATCAGTTCATTAAAATCTTGCAGAATTTCTCTGAAACCATCTATTTCTTTGTTTTTAGCTTACTCCTTACTCCATGTTTATATCTCAGAGTTTCCACTCAGCTCTGGTTTTATCATTAGGAATACTTGGATGTCCTCTATTTCATTGAAAATCCATTTTTTTCCCCTTATAAGATTGTACTCACTTTTGCTGAGTAAGTTATTTTTGGTTGTAGGCCTAGATGTTTGGCCTTTTGGAATATTATATTCCATGCTCTAAACTCCTCTACAGTGGTTGCTAAGTCCTATGTGAGCCTAACTGTGGTTTCTCAGTACTTGAATGCTTTCTTCTGGCTGCATGCAATATTTTTTTTCTATGACCTGGAAGTTCTAGATTTTAAATATGATGTACCTGGGAGTTTTTATTTTGGTGATTTTTTTTTCTTTGGGAGCTGATGAGTGGATTCTTTCTATTTTCACTTTATTTTCTTGTTCTGGTTAAATATGTCTGATTGGTTTTCTTTCATGATTTCTTGCCATGTGATATCCAAGCTCTTTTTTTTTTTTTTGGTAATTGCTTTTAGGTAGTCTAGTGATAATTAAATTACCTCTTCTTGACCTGTTTTCCAGGTCACTTGTTTTAAAAATGAAATACCTTACATTTTC